ATTTCTGAAGAAGGGTCTAGACCCGAAACGTCAGCTTTCCTGCTCCTCTGATGCTGCTTGGCCTGCTGTGTTCATCCAGCTCTACACCTTGTTATCTCAGATTCTCCAACATCGGCAGTTCCTACTATCTCTGGTACAGAGGGAAATGAGGGAAGTGTAAATTGAACATCAATCCACTTGTCGAACCAGAATTGAGTGAGGCATGTATGTTTATTCTCTGGATTCTTCTTAAATTAATCCAACAGGGACCATGTATATTTTAATGGAATTGAAATGAAGATGCTATATTCAAGCTTAACCTGAACGTCAGTTGATAATTTTTGCATGGTTGTGATCTCAGCAATGCGAGTCTATATTGAGTCATGGAAATAAAGAAGGGATTACTCTTCAATATAATCCCATAGGTTCCAGTTGTGCACATAATCATTACACGAACACACCATTCAGGAGTCAAAATAGAAATATGGCCCATTTGACACTATTGTCGCACTTGTATTACACCACAATAATGAAGTTGACTAATCTTAGCAATGAATCCTGATCAACAAGTCTGCAACATGCCCAGAAATGGTTGAAGTAATACTCCAGAGGTACCCTGCTTTGAAAATCATGGATTCAAACACTTTCTTTAGCTGCCCTTAACATATCTGAACGTTTGAGGACTTTTCAGTTGATTAGGGAGTATCGCACACCAGTTGGTTCTGCCTTCACCTGATTCTTGTATGTGTTCATTGATGGGGTAAGGGACAGTGTTAGGTTCTGATTATGAATGGTAGGTGTCTTTTCCCTAGGATGGGGGTTTTCAAGACTATGGGGCATATTTTAAAGTGAGAGGAGAGAGATTTTCAGAAAGACACTGGGTGACTTTTTTTAACTCCAAAAGATGGTTTGCGTGTGGAAGGAACTTCCTGAGGAAGTGTTGGACGTGAACACAGTCACACCATTTAAAAGACACTCAGATAAGTAGCTGAACAGGAAAGGTTTGGAGAATTATAGGCCAGGAGCAGGCAGGTGGGACTAGTTTAGTTTGGGATTATGTTCGGCGTGGACTGGTTGGACTGAAGGGTCGTGTTTCCATGCTGTATGACTCTAAGAATGCGACAGTTGATGCTAGATGCCAGGATACTCCGTTCACTGTATGCACAGTGGCATTTTCACACAAGGGTTAAATTTGTAATGTAATCTAGACAGGATTAGCAAAATGCAAACCAGTGAGCTCTTTGTGAAAAGCATTTGGTGATATTTCATTTGGGGTAGGAAATTATGAAAGGTGTGTGGTGTTTTTAAGATCCTGAATGTTACTCAATTCTAACAATGTGCACCATTATATTGTTTTTAAGAAAATATATATCTTTTTGGAATTATGAATGGCATGGAGAAAGCAGAGACAAACAAATTGTCCACTGGGGAAAGGGAACATAAGTTAGTACGTTTGCAAGTCAGCACTGAGAAGTGGAATAGGGAAGAATATATTTCTAAAAGAGGTAAATCTAATTGTGGAGTAAGATATCAGGGAATAAAATTGAAGTCAATGTGTTCCATAGATAACTGGGTGTTCCTGAAGAGGAGGGGATTAAAAGCTATAGTGTGACGGCAAGTAATAGAGGGATGCTTAATGTTAATAGAATTTAAAAATGCACAAAAATCCAGGTTAACTGGTCTATACTGGCTTTCCTCCAATCTCATTTCCATGACCTTTCATATTACTTTTTAAGGATGCTAAGATACCTATGTGGAAATGGGCAATACTAACTTCTGACAGTCAGTTTACTGACTGATATTCTGGCACAGGGCACAATGTTTTGACAGAGCATACGTTTCTGTTCTAGGTGCTTGCGGAATCCAACCCCAGTCGCTATGGGTTTCTATGGCGATGGTTCGATGAAATCTACATGCTGCTGGACCTCCTACTTGAGCATCACTATCTGTCTAGGACCAGTGCTTCCTTCTCTGAGAACTTTTATGGTCTGAAAAGAATTCCATTGGGTAGTGGTCACGGACTATGGAGATTAGCCAGCCTTGGGCTCCCAAGGACCCAGCACTGGAGATCCCTGCTGGTGGTAATAGCTGTTCCATATGTAAAAGTCAAATTGGACAAACTGTTTGCTCGGCTGCAGGAGGAGGATGACTATGCAATACATCTCCCAGAGTCCTCTTGGAAGCGTCTTTACAAGGCCTTTCTTGCAGCCTATCCTTTTGTGAACATGAGTTGGGAGGCGTGGTTCCTTATCTACCGGCTCTTGTACGTCTTTGAGAAAACACAGTTTCACTCACCACTATTGCGAGTGGCAGGGGTCCGTCTGGGGAGCCTCACCCCTGCAGATTTTCAGGACCTCGAGAAAAAATCCTCTTCTGTTAGCAACCGTTCAGCCAGTGAAAGGTAAGCAAAGAGCTTTGAAAGGCTGTGGTCATCAGGAATGTAAAATCAGGATAGGCTACAGAATTTGAGTGCATTCTTTATTCTTTAAGATGGTGGAAACTTTAAGGTAATAACTTGGAGATGTAAAAGTACCTATGAGAAATGACTAATCATTCATTGTGGTGAAGTTGCAAGTGCTGGGGAAAAGCAGGTTAAAAATGATATTAGGGATGAAAGTAGAAAGTTGGTGTTGAGAGTTACTTGGAAGATTCCTGCTTGATCCAAGATTCAATCCAAGAGATTAAGCTGACATTGCATTTGCATTGGATCACAGGCAATGGCATGAGCCTGGGACCGTACATTGGAATAATACCTGCATGTGTTCTAACCTCCTCACTCTTCTCTCTGCAGTGTGGTTAGAAAGCTGACCTCCTTTCTGGCTAAAGCAATGGGAGGTGTGACATTGTCCCTATCGACTGGTATATCCGTGGGTGTCTTTTTCCTGCAGTTTCTGGAATGGTGGTATTCATCCGAAAACCAGGAGACAATTAAATCCCTTTCCTCTCTCCCAACCCCTCCCCCGCCAGTGCACTTTGACGAGCTAACTAATGAGTCTTTACCTAGACTGAAGACTGTGTGTCCTTTGTGCAACAAGATTCGGACAAACGACACAGCCTTGGCGACCTCTGGATATGTCTTTTGTTACCGATGTGCTTACAGCTACGTAAAACGCCACCAGCGATGTCCTGTGACAGGCTACCCTTCTGAACTGCAGCATCTAGTTAAACTTTACTCTCCAGAAGCATGAAGAAAAAAGGTTTCGATCCATGGATGCACACTGTTATTGATCATGTACTATTTTATAAGCAGAAGTCTGACTTAATGACTTGTGAAGTGCTGTTTACTAATGACATGCACCAGACAAGTTTCAACTGCAGCATTATTACTAATTATCTTTTCCAATTTTCTGCCCTCCTCCTAAATGTGCTGACTTGCATAATTCCTCATTCAAGTGGCCATTCTGCTGTGAACTTAGACAGGAGACTTGTCCTATGGAGCATTGGTACTGATGACTACACAGATGCACCCTTTCCAGCCCTGGCCATGAATGATGGTCAGGGGATCTGACTTAGAGCGGCTAAGACCTGTTTGAGCAATGCTGCCATCTTGATTGAGATCAGCTAAAGCAACTCCTTCCTATTTGAGTCTGAATTCTAATACATTGCGCTCCAAAATATCAAAAGTACGTAAATAATTGCATTGCTTGGTTATTGTGAGGGGGCCAAGAGACAATGGAAATTGTATATGTCAGTATTCAGCATGATCTTCCATGATAATTCTGAATCTTTTAATGGAATCTTGTCATTCTCAAATTTCATTAACAAATCATATAAGTTCAAAGGGTTTACCAGTTCAATAATGGTTGCAATATATAGTCCTCGTTCATGGTTAACAAATTTACATTGTAGGAAGTTCTCTAAAGATTCAAATAAAAATCTTGTTTGGATTAGATCGAATTCTAAAGTTAGAGCAAAAGCCTTTATCATCGACCCTATAATCTAAGTGGTTTTTGAAATCAATATTTTAATGGTCAAGATGTAATCTGTACTGTGCACTAAATTATTATGGTGTGATAAATGTTTCAATAATGTTTTGAAGATTTTTAATGTTTACTTGCAAACTATAATAAATTGTACATTAGCTGAACCAGTAAGCTGACTTTACAGTGTTCATGTAAACAAAAATCTTCAAAATCAAAATAAAAGAGATGCTAACCAGAAGAGGTGAGAAGAGAAATAATGAATGCTGCAAATCTAAATGAAAACAGAAAATATTGCAGATCTCAAGCAGATCAATCTTCACCTGAGAGAAAGCCTCATGGCTCTTGCGAGTCCAGATTTGGCCAAGTCACTTGAATTCCAAAGTGCGGTGGTTTTTGTAATTTTATGAAAATAATTTGTTACCCGGGGGTAGTTCATGATCATATTCTAATACGCAATGTATATCTCGATACAAGTATGTGTCTGATGGTCAGAAACTTTATAAATGAGTTGGGGGAGGTCATGTATTACTCAAAGTAGCATCAGAGACATTGACCTGCAATGTATAATTAACATTAAGTAAGGACTTCAGTCATAAGTTGATTTTAAGTACAGGCTGGATTAAGTAACCTTGTTTGTAGTGAGATTAATTAAGAATCTGCAAACTTTCTGGCTCGAGCATTCCAGTGTATTTTTCTTCCTGGAGAGTATTTTCTGAGCATTGCAAATAACCCTCCTCATTTATGTACTTTTTAAGTGTTAGTATGAGATATGAAGTCTAATGTATTATGCTGTAAAGAATAGCTCAACAGATTAAACCGAATTCAAGTCCACTGTTTTGTGTAAGGAGGACAGTCAGTGTGCAGAAGACTTAAGCCTGTAACTAAACATGTAAAACATGTAACACATGTAACTATAGGCCAGTTAACACATCTGTTATTGGGAAAATTTAAAGAGTCAAATATACAGGACGTGAAACTAGACCATTAGAAATACGTAATATTATTAAATGGTCAGCATAGCTTCATAAAGTGGAAATCATGCTTGACAAATTTATTAAAATTCTCTCAGGAGATAACCAGTTGGATAGAAAAAGGGGAAACAGTGGATGTTATATATTTGGATTTTCAGAAGGAGTTTGATAAGATACGTCAGACTACTTAATAAGATGGGGAGCCCATGGTGTTGGATGTCGTGTATTAGCATGGATAGAGGTTTGGCTAACTAATAGGAGACAGATAGGAGGGGCATTTTCAGGATGGCAACATTGTGATGTGCTACTGGGATCAGTACTGAGGCCACGATTATTTACAAAATATATTAATGAGTTGAATGAGAAAAGTCCTATTGTTAAATTTGCAGATAATGTAAAATAGATGGGAAGGCAGCGCTGAGCTGACACAATGTCTTCAGAGGGATATAGACAGATTAGAGTGGGCAAAATCTTGGTAATGTGGGAAAATTTGAAGTTATGCACTTTGCTAGGAGGAATAGAGGAGCTGAATATTATTTAAATGGAGAAAGGCTACAGAAAGCAACACCACAGATGGATTTGGGAGCCCTCATCAACGAATCACAAAAAGCTAGTGCGCAGGTTCAGTCGGTAATAGGAAAGCAAATGGAATGTTGGCCTTTATTTCAAAGATTGTGGAATATTAAAATAGTAATGTCTTGCAAAACTATACAAGGCATGAGTTGGACCACAATTGGAATACTGTGAACTAAGTGTTAGAGACTTTCTCAGAGGGTTCTAAATGCAGGGTAATTGGGCAATTCCCCTGTAGTCAGTGCATTGGGATCTCCCAAGAGGGGACTGATTCTCATCTTTTGGAATATGTCCGATCTCTACCTCTCCTGAGACTGGAGGACAGGGAGCACATACGTGCATTCAATTTCTATTTGTTGGAACATCTTCTGCACACCTTCCATAACAAATCAAATGTTTTATAATAACCAGGAATGGTTCATTACCAAGATCACTAATTTTTCCATAGTGAGAGTATCCCTTTGATCTGGAAGTCTTTGTGACTGGTGCAACTTTGTTAGAATCTGCCTGTAATTATTGAGGAGATTTTTCTGGAGGCTATTATGTAAAATGGAAAAATATAAGATTGTTCCTGGAGGCAGTAAGATTTCTTCACTGGGAATTGTGTGATTGCAATACTAGCATTCCACATTTTAATAAGTACAAAATTTTGCTAAAGTAAACAAGAATGTTTTCAGTAATAGCCACTATCTCAGGTACACAATTTCCTCTGTCATCCCTCTCAACCACCATTCTGAACCCATCCCATAAATGTATTTATTGGAATGAATCTGCATCTGAAACCACTTAAATTAGATGCGGATGTTTTCAAACTGGGAAATGTTTGCAATGGAAACTGCAGGCTGCTGTTGTATAGTTGGCTGCTTCCAAAGTCAGAAGGCATAGAACTTTTTCAACAATTATTATCCAGCTTCATCTTGAACTTGCCAGTTGTCTTGCTTTCCTGTCTCTCCAGATGTTCTGTTACCCATCCTCTTGAATAATTAAGTTTAAACTGTTTGTGTTTCCTTTATGATTTGCCGACTGTCCTGCCTGCTTTGTGGTGAGTTGCGCAGTTTGTGTTCACCTTAATGATATCCTAAAGACTCTCAAACTGACAGGATTTCCCATGTTTCTAGTTTCATGAACTATATTCAAATATTTGGAATACTGTGGAAAAAATGTGCTTTGAGAAGTCAAACTCTCAAGCTCCTTTCTTATTGTGTGAAGTTAATAAAGCCAGACCAAAATCCCCTTGCAGCAATTTGTGTAATATCACTGTGTAAAGTTGTTCTGAGAGCGGATAGCAGTTTGGAAGTTGGACTCTGAAGGGAAATAAAATATCTCATGTTTGAGTAATGTATACATACCACCAAAACAAATGAGCACAGCATATCTTCAGACAAACTTCCAGGTGCCCTTTTCTAATTTTTTTTTCATACTCTGCTAGTTACATCTATATTGGAGAATGGAGTACATCTACTTTAAATATCAACAGTTGCCATTGAAGCAAAACAGGTTAGATGCAAAACTAGGTATCTTGTACATTCAAAATAGTTTCATTCAAACTTCCTGCAAGTTTACTTTCCAGTTTCTTTCACTAGCCCCTTTAACCTGGAGACACACTGGAAGTTTAAGGACTGAAAAGGTGAGTGTAATCTTCAAACTAGTTTGAGTTTGAACTTTTTAGAGCCTAAATAGAAGAGAAATATGTATTCTAATAGCCTGTGCAATGTAAGCTCTATTACATCAATCTCCCCACTCTTAACTATTGATGACAGTAGAAAAGCAGTTCCTAAAAGTAGACTATTCTCTTGAGAGTGGGATGAGGTGCCACGAGACTACTTTGAAAGGCAGAAAATATTATAATGTTGGACTTAGATAAATCAAGTAGGCAAATTTATTTGTAATAGAAAATGATTGCTTTGAAGGAAAATAAGTGGTAAACATACAGCACTGTAATACTTGAACTATATGATACTTAGACCGAAAAATTGTTTGATTTAAAAAAAAAAACTTGCTCTCAAAAAAGACAGTTTTGTCAATACCAATGTAACAGGAAAAACAACAATGATGTTGTATGAGACGAGTGTGCCAATTGGTTAGTCAAGTGGACAAGTGATTGCATTGCCATGGAGAATGCACCAGATAAATGGTGATTGGTAGTTAACTGTGAAGTTTTATTTATTTGTGATCAGGCTGTTTGACTCTCAGGGCAATGCCTTGACCAGAAATGAACCAATGAATACTGTCACCTGTTTTCTTGAGTTTAAGCAGACATTGTATGTGTACATTTTTTTGTGTCCCAAAGAACATGGCCCTGTGTATTAATATATGCAGCTTCCGGTACGTGCAAGTCTGCCACGCTGTGAGCTCAACTGATCATGTTAAATTCTAAGATAGTAGGAGCTGCAGATGCTGGAGAATCTGAGATATACAAGGTGTAGAGCTGGATGAACACAGCAGGCCAAGCAGCATCAGAGGAGCAGAAAGGCTGACGTTTCAGGCCTAGACCCCTTCTGTACTTCTGTAGGAGCAATGAGCTGCCAAGTAATATATACGATGGGCTGCCCAAATACACAAAAATGATGTCCTTTTACAACCTATCTTATCAGTGACCGATTCCGCATAATAGAAACAAAGTTATGAACAGGTTTTCCACATAGATTTGTGAAGACCATATGGGACTTGTATATTGATAGAAATATGCAGCTGGTAAGCACGGGCAGGTCTTCACACAGCACATGAAAACGTGCCTCGTGTGGGGGTGAGCGAGCCCTCATGGGGAAAGCCCAGTGTGGAGCAGTGGCAGGCCCATGGCTTAAGAAAGGACTGTAATGTTTAACTTCTAACTTATAATTTCTTTATTTTTCTACTTTATACTAAAAAGAACTGTAGTGATGAACTCAACTTATTTCTTTATTTTTCTATTCTTGTACCTAAGATTTGTACCTTTGTACCTAAGATGGTGCAGGGAATGGCGACATTTTACACTTTTCACTGTCGTCTTTTACCTGAGTATACATGACAATAAAATCTAAATCTAAGAACTGCTGTGTCCATGTGCTCATTTGACATTGACGGCCGATTCACCAACATACCACACAAGCAAGCCATGAATATTTGTACTGCAGCACCACATTATGGTGATCTAGATCCACCACCAGTGTGTGAATTGTACCAACTCAACAACTCTCCCAGCTGTGTTCAGTTTTAACAACACCCTCCTGGGACCTTCTCAAACATCTTTGTTGGGCTCATGAGGAATTTTCTTTGAAGGCATGACACACAACTTCCTCCCTCTTGCCTATCTCCGATAAGTATGCATTTACTATATTTGAATCTGCAGCTGCATGCAAGAATTTCCCTACATGTCTTAATGGGCTCCAAGTTGTGAAATCAGTCAAGGACTTTTCCCTGATATACTGCAAGCCCATCTTTACTGGCGAATATACACATGTAGCTTGCACTAAGACTAGCCTTGTTGGCAACCCATAAATAGAGTCCAAGCTGTTTGTTCACTGTGCAGTCTTGATAATGAAATAAGGTGGATCAAAGCCATCCTGCAGGATGATATAATTTCTCATTGTATATTGAACAAACTTATGATCGGGCTGAATGACATCACTTTTGACCCTGAAACATGCTCAGTCTACTTCAGACTAATAAGGTTTCTCACAACTTGAGCAACGGGTGAACCGAGCTGCTTCACTCT